CTTCGCGCCGCCTGTCACCCTAGAAGCTTTGGGGACAGCCAGGCACCACCCCCTTGAAAAACAGCCTCCTGCGTGCCAGAGGGCTGTCATCACATTCCCCATCCTCCCCCAGCAGATCTTGCCTAGAAAATCTTGCCTAGAAAAAATAACCTCGTGGCCTCTTCAGAGGTCATTTTCCCCTCAATCTCTTGCCACCCCTGCTCTTCTCTTCCACGCTTGCTCCAATTTGGCCCTGTCTCCAAGTGTAGCATTCAAGCTGGGCCACTGTGCCCAGCCGAGCCCTGAGACCTGAGCATAGGGGGATTATCACATCATTGTCTCACACATACCGTTCTTGTTCTCATAGCCCAGAACAACATTATAACATTAGCTTTTTTTTTCCTTTTTTTGCAACAGCATCCTGTTATGTTGCTGCTCAGTATTTTTTTCATGCTTCACTATCTCCCCCAGGTTCCTCTCTGCAGTACTGCTGCTGCATGTCTAATTTCTCCTGCAAAAGAAGGGCCCGTGCTGCCGTAGCTTCAGCCATCTCAATGACAGGGTGTTCCAGCAGCTATCATTAATGCAGCAAGAAGCTCTTCTAGGGTGACCCATCTCACCAGCCCTGGGTGAAATAGAGGGCTCCCTGCAGAGCTAAATCCCAGTCTGGAGAAATTGCTTAGATAAGGGTCCAGTTTAAGACAGCTGGATGAGGGGAGATGACACTCAAAGTACTGCTCTTCATATGAGTCTTTACTGAATTTTCTCTTACTGGTATCAACCCATTTCTTGGGTGTTCATCAAGCTCCCTCACACTCATTTACCTTCTATGCTTTGATCTAAGGCAGCCACATGATCCTATTCCCAAAGTTTTTAAAAACAAAGTCCAAAACAGCACAAAACACCTCCCAATTCCAGGAGGTTACAGCAAGACATGACCCACACAGTCAGAGCCCAGCTTGAGACAGAGACTGGCCACAGAAAAACAGAGTAACCCAGCACCCAGCCAGGAGCTTGCACTACCTAGAGATCCACTGTCCCATCTCTTTGCAAACACTCATGTATTCATCCTAAATCAATTGCAGGAAAGAGGAAATTATAAGCATGATTACTCCTAAATGGGGGGAATGTTTAATCCAAAAGCTAATGTGCACTTTGATCCAATATTAATGAACCAGCACCTGGTTGTATATCGTCCCCAGCTTCAAAAGAGGGGAAGTCTTAATCAAACACTAATGTGTATCATAATTTGTAACACAGTCTAAAACATCAAAGACAAGAGCATCTACGAATGCACTAGTTTTTCAGATGAAAGTGTTTTCTCCCAGGAGAAGCATTATCCCCAGCAGAACAGCAGATCTGAGAGGCTGTTAGACAGTAAATAGGTTTCAGTGATAAGGGGGGGTGCTATGTGAGCCAAGTTTTGGGCAAGTTCTGCAGCACCTGCTTCAGAAGGGCATCGTTGCTGCCCCTCATCTCTCAGCACCATGGCTTTTGTTCCTTTCCTGACAGAGGAAGGCTTCAAGCAGCCTCAGCACTGCCCTGGTGATGTGCATGGGGTAGGCAGACCTGCTCTCCTGAGAGCCCAGCCTGCCCAGGGGGAACTGGGACACTTGGTTTCACCCCTCCCTGCCTTAGCACACTGCTCATGAAGCGGAAGAGCTGGGCTCAGTGCTACAAGCTGGGACATGCTTCTATTCACTGTCACCCCAAAAGAGCCCCTGGCAGGTAAATGGAATTGTGGGATGATGCTGGAGGGGAAATGTGAAGCACTCACACCTCAGCTTCTCAAGTCTGTGCCATTTATAAGTTCAAAAAGCCTCTCCAGAATACAAAACCTCCTTTGCTTCCAAATAACTCTGCTCCTATTTGGCAGTCAACACAATTCCTTTGTTTCTATCCTAGATCCACAGGTATTAGAGACCCCATGGAGTTGTTGGCTTTGCTGTATTCAGTACATAGCAAACCCTGGGGGGCTGCTCAGCCAAGCACCCCAACCATGGGAAACCCCAAGGATGATTCCCACTATACCAGGTCCTGAATGGGTATCATATCCTGCCAAGAATGCATAGAGGTACCACACTCACCTTCATCACTTGCTGGGCCAGGACAGGGTGGCTGGCCGGATCCTGGCCCAGGAGCACAGTGGCAATCTGCTCACAGTATTGCAGGGCCTGGGCTGGGAGCCCATAGTCAGCCAAGCGAGAGGCATAGAGGAGCTTGTATACCTTGGGAGAGGGAAACAGAGCAGACATAGATGCGGGCAAGGAGATGCTCACAGGCATGGGCCCCCTCTGCCATGGCACATCATCCCAGCATGACTCAGCATGACAGTTTTCCTCACCCAGAGATGAGACCTCATCTGCAACTTGGGGGCACCCCCACCCATCCCCAAACCACAGCACTGTCACAAGTCCAGCCCAGCCCAGAGCCAGCAAATGGGCAGTAAGGAGAAGACACCAGCCCACCATCTTCATTCGCTAACCCAATCTGTGCAGCGCCGAAGACAGCAGCAGACTTATTTCCAATATGAAAAGTCTATCCATTACCCCAGAGAGCAGGAAAGCATCCAGACCTGAGCAAGCACTGATCAAACACACCACAACCCAAATTCTGGAGGAACTCCTTGGACAGGGAACCAGCAAGGAGATAAGCCTTGAAAAGCAGCCTGAATCCCTGGCTTCAGAGGGATGGATGCATGTTTTGGGGCAGGTCTGAGCTGCTGCACCAGATGTGTTTGTGAATCTCCACTACCTGGAAGGGCAGCAGGATAGATTCAGGCTGCCGTAGCTGCTGGCAATACTCTAAGATTTCCGTCCGCTGGATGGCCTCCATCCTGGCAAACTGGGCAAACCCCTGCCTGCAGAGGAGAGGGGCAGGTTCAGCAAGCAGCAGAGCTCTCTCCCCAGGCAGCCCCACAAACAGATTCACAGCTCCTCCATTTGTGCCAGCCTGCAGCTGGAGAAGCCAGAGCAAAGTTCACAGTAAGAGCAGTAAAACCCATGAACAGGGATTGTTTTTGTGAGATCCAGGGGATGGGGAGAAGGTGAGACATGTAACTCTGGTGAAAGCACCGCCGCCAGGGCTCACTCACCGGTGGCTGCTGCCCAGCAGAACCATGCGCTCTGCCTTCACCCCAAAGTAACCAAAGGGGATATCTGCCATCAGGTAGCAGAAATGAGCTGCTTCAACTGATCCCTTGCCAGCTGGATGGGAGGAAAGAAGACAAACACTCAGTCCTGAGAGGTCACCATGTGGGTCAGCATTGCTTTGGAGGTCCCCAAGCTCACTGAAAACCCAAACCCAACCGCCTCATTTTTCTTCCCTGTCCAGGCAGACCCAGATCCCCTCTCCTCTCCAAGTTTTTAAACTGTATTCTCCAATTGCCACTTTCTGTGCCTAGGAGAGGTTTCAGTTCAGTGGTAGAACCAGGGGAACCCGACCAAGGGACCGGCTCCAGCTTCAACTCTGTAGGGTATCATTATTGGCATGAAATCCTTGAGAGCTCCCACTGCCAGGAGCACATCTCAGTCCCTTCAGTTACATATGCCCTCCCTGGACCCAGCCATTCCAGTCATCTCCAAAAGAGCTGCTAATGGATGTGCCTGAGTCTGGCTTATCTGCCAGCACAAAATGCAGTGGGATCCATCAATGCCTCATCCCTGCTACTGCTCAGGCATGTGACACCTCATGTCAGCACCAATGTACATCCATGCCAGCATGGACATGCACAGCAATATTGCAGGTGTCCACCCACTATTACAAGACAGAAGGAACATAACTGCTCACAACAAACTCTGCTCACCCAAGGTGTCTCCCATAGTGACGATGGCTCGGTGGTTCATCTCCATGTCTCCAACCTTGTTGGACAACAGCACAGCCAGGTGAGGCCTCCAGTCTCCCCATGTGGCATCTCCACAGCACTGGGGGGAGGAAAGAGGAGAGTGAAGGTGAGCAGACATGGTCACCACAAGGTGGATGTCACAGGCAGGTGACAGCACAGGGGTACACAGGCTGGGGCCAGCCTTTTACTCACACACCAGTGCTGCCTGAGGGATTCTTCCTGACATGAGCTGGAAGAGGGTCTGCAAGGGGTCATTGGTGACCAACGTGCTGGTGAACCTGTGAGGAGACAGCAGGACAGCAGAGATAGGGCTGCTGTACTGGGACCCCAAACCCTCATTCACCTCCAACGGTAAGTCTCAAATGCCCCAGGAAAGCAGTGTCCTGAGACGATTCTTGGAGAAGGTGAAAAGGATCATCAGCCCACCAAGCTGATTATCTGCATTACCTCCAGAGCAGGCAAGTCTCCAGGACAACACTGGATAAAACGTCCTTAAAAGGATTCAGTTTGCACAAGACAGAATATGTCTGCTTAACTCTCCCTGAAGGGATCAACCCGATCCAGACTAAGTACGTTAATTCCAGCAGAAAACATTCATACAAGTGGAATGAACACTAGGCTGGATCATGGTGCAGATGGCTCAGCTCTGCCTATCCAAACGGTTTTTGCTAGAGCAGCAAGGGCAAAGCCAAAGACTCAGAATAAATCCACCCTACACCTCCAGGAAATGGCTTTCTTTCTGCTTTCCAGCTCTCATTTGGTTTCTCCCATCTATCAGGAAGCCCATCAGAATGGATGTGCCATCCCCACTTTGCCCCCTCTGAAAGAATTAACTGAAATCAGTGCTTTTTTTTCTTCAGTGCACTGAGGCTAAAGGCACCCAAAGGGATAACAGGTTTGGCAAAGCCAGTCACAGAGCATCATACCTTGCTTTAGCTTCTCTAACTTACCCGGAGAGCACCCAGCTGTAGGTCCGAGGGTCCATCTTGCTGGAGAGGAAGAGGGCATGGCCCCAGAGATGGTTTCTCATGGCCCAGACCAGAGCATCCTGCAGACAAGGTGGGAAAGGGATTGCACTAACTCTGCTCCCCTGCATTCCTCTGCTGCTCACCCATCTCAGAGAAGAGCTCCAATAACTGCTCTAACTAATACCCTCCAAAAAACTCTTCTGTGTTCACAAAGGCACCTTTATCTTTCTATCATAACAAGAACTGGGACCTTCATAGCAATATTGTCTTAACTGGATCTCCAGGTCTGTGCTGCTTGTTAACTCTCAACATCATCACTGTAGGTTCCCAGCCTGGGCACACAACCTTCTCTGCATCAAATCCCCTTTCTCCCCGTGGCTTTTGGAATCTCTTGAGATCACATAGCTGCAGAATAAACCCACAGTGCTGGTAAAACCCTCTGCATCTTGTCTTCATTTGAGGCCCCATCCCAATTCCCAATGGTAGGTAAATCACTGCCGTTAGCCTTGTTGTACAAACACAATTCAAAGGGTTGATCCCACAACCACAAGGCACTTCATGACCAGTCTTCCCTTTAAAACCTGTCTGAAGAGGCCAAGGGGACCAAGCAAAAAAAAAAAAAGCCTTGTGTCCTGGATCCCACTCACCACTTACTTTCTTCCTGCCATAGTAGAGAAGCTTGGTAAACTTTTCCACTATCTGTGCCTGTGTCTCCACAATGGGAGGGACATCCCCTGTGATGAGGTCCAGTGTCCCCGTCTGACGTGACATCCACTCGTCGTCTGTCAGGCCTATCATGTTTGCCGCAGGGTTTTGCCTCTTGTACTTCTGGCGCCTGCAGTCTTGCATCAGCAACTCAGCTGTGTCTGAGCCCACCATGGACTGCAAAAGGGAAGGGGACGAGTGAGGCTGCCCCATAAGCAAAGGCTGATGGCACTTCCAGTCTGACATCCTTACATTTGTACCCTCATTCAAGCACATCTCCTGAACAAGACCAGCCCTGGCCACCGGCACACAGTTTTGGAACGCAAAAGATTCAGCAAAACTAGCAGGACCTTCAAAGGATTCACCCTGAAGCCACAGATTAGATTGAGTGGATTTTATTGAGTTAAGGGAATAATCCCCTTTCAAGCATGAGCACTGGCTCATCAATGAAGGTAGCACCAGTCCCTTTCACAGCTGCTATAGCATTGGGTTGTTCATAGTTCACATGGATGCAAAGCAATCACAGAGAAGGGTTTGCTCCAAATATCCAGTCAGTATCAACCTGATTGATTGATAGTACTATGGGAATGGGATGATTTTAAGGTACATCCCCTCTGAAAACAGCCACTGGATGAAGAGGCACCTAGGGGGCACATGACTTGTCTCACTTCTAAGATCAAAAGCGTCAGCCCTTTCCACAGGACACCTACCCCATTCTGCTGGCAGAGAAGGACCAGGAGTTTCCAGAGAAGAGATGAATCTCTGCCTCTCTGTGTTGAGAGATCACAGCTTGTGGCTATCTTCTGCTGGCAAAATGTCATCACATCCACCTTGTGCAGATCTTCCCTACAGCAGCAAAGAGAGGCATCAAAAGAAACACAAGGCATAGCAATCTAGGACATCAGACTCAACATGTCCCCAGGTCCACTAATGGGGATGCCAAAGTTTCAAAGTGACAGATGGAGATCTCCAGTGCCATTGACTACATACCAGACTGGCCACACCAAGCTCGAAAATGCTTAAATGTTATGATTATTATGACTCTGTAGATTTCTGTTTTGGGGATACAGAGTACATCCCAAACCCCCTCTCTGCTCTCCTGATATTTTCATCCATCCGTCTACAAAGAACCTCAGTTTTGCTTTGCTGTGCTGCTGTTACAGCCATGGATGTCCCAGGCTGCAGGAGCAGGCACATATACAGCCAGTATCTTTTATTTAACTGGCATAGCATAGAGAGAAAGACACGCTTGTGATCACATAAGCCCTTTGGGTATGAAACGGAAGCAGAAACCTTTAAGCTATGTGTAAGCCAGGCAGAACTGCTCTCTTACAATAAGATAAACAGACCATTGGAAAGAAAGAGTGGCTGAGACACAAGATCAGCCAGGGGAGAGGGACTGGGGATTGAGATGCTGATCCTGGCTCAATCACACCAACAGATCATTTAGGGATTCCCCAAATCCCCTTTGGCACAAATGGTAACCTCCAGGTCTTGTACCCAGCTTCTGGGCATAAGCAGCTCTTTTGCTCAGAAAATGGTTTTCCTCCTTCTGCACACTCCTTTTCTCTCCCTGCTTTGATTGAGTGGCCACAAGACAAACTAGTGTAACCAGAACAGTACAGAGACAACCTGATGCAACACACCATGATTCACCCCCAGGCTCACACTGGGTGAATATGCATACCAGATCTGACCTTGCTGTGTTCAACAGTCTTGAGGGGGACAAAAACCTTAGGAAAAACTAAATCACAGGTTGACCCAGAGCTTTAAACATCCAAAGAAATCAGTTTTCTGGGACATGAGTACAAAATAAGTTCAGGCATACAAACCACACCAAGCCCACACTCTATGAATATTCAAAAAAACCAAAACACCCCATCTCCCACAGTCCAAACCAACCTACACCTTAGCAAAGAAGCTGGGCTCCCAATCTGAACCTAGACTTGGCCTTTTCAGGTATCTTGGAACCATGGGGACCTTAAAGCCTGCTTTCAGATCATGTATCCTCACAAAGGAGGGTTGCTGCCATGCCAGCACAGCCTGGAGGCCACAGCTCCTGGACCTGCCTATGTAGCATACCTGGCCAGGGGCCCCGGGAAGGCCTGTAGCTCCTCCAGCTCTTTTGTGCCATGAAGGACTACCTAAAAAACAAGAGCAAGTTCAGCAGCTGGACTCCAGCAATCAAACCAGACACAGCTGGGATATCTAAAAGTCAGTGCCTGGGCCAAGGATTCAACAGTGCTAGTGAAACCATTCTCTGTGCTGTGTTAAGGTAACTCCAGAGCATAGACCCTAAACCATCACATGGACCCCAGTGCTAAGTTCCAGGAAAAAATGCCTGCAAAACAGGAGACTGAGGGGATGGATACAGCCTCTGTATTGAAGCACCTCAGAAAGGTGAATAGAATTATCATTCAAAGAGATATGGACCACATCTGTACCTCACTGTGAACAGGTCACAGATGACAAGGGTTACAGAACTAAAAGAGCAGGATGCAGGATGTCCATGTGGGCTCAAGAAAAGATAGCTGCAGGGGATGAGAAGGTTGCTAAGGAGGCTGTTTGTGTGAGGAACAGTATTTGCATCCCTCAGGGTGAACGGAGTCACTTTAGCAAGGGGACTGAGGACAGTTTGGGGTGCCAGGCTGTGACATACCTCTAGGCTGTGTAGCTCGACGAGAGCTAGCTGCCCCTTGGCAGGGTGGTGGGGACACACCAGCACCAGCTGGCCTCCAGCTCCAAAGCACACCACCATGTGTGGCAGCGAGAACTTGAGGGGTACCACCGGGGCCAGGGTGGACATCAAAGGCCTCCCTGCAATGACACACAGGCCACTGTGAGTCCCCTCACCCTGACCCTATAGCTCCTCCTTTATGGAGGACATAACCAGGTCCTAACCTAGTCCCCCAACTTAAGTGACTCTCCACTGACTCCCCCCATGCAAGAACTGTCTCTAGAGCAGGAGGCATGCATGGCAGCTCCTGCACCTACTGTAGCAGTGCCACTGGACAATGGACCCACCCTGCAGCCCCCAAGCCATGCCTTGTGCCTGCACAACATCCTCCAGGAAAGGACCAAGCTGCCTAATACCAGCCATTTATTTCCTTGCTCCCTCCTTGTCAGAGGGAACCAGGGCCCCACCACACCTCACCTGATTGTGCCAGGCCCCAGGTCCCTGAAAGAGCAGGGTCATAGTAGTCAGCACCATCATGGATGTACTGGCTGAGCTCATAGCCGCTGGAGCTGAGCCCTGACTCACGGTACTGCAGGAGCAGGCTGGGCTGGTCTGATGGCTGCAAGGAAGGGAGAAAACACAAACCTGGCTGAGAAACTAGGGACATTGCTGCTTTTCTGCACCCAGGGCAATGGGACAGGCCCTGCTGCTCCATGGAAGTTCCCAGAGGGAGAAGCCAACACAGCTAGTTCCCATCTGAGCAGTTCACACTCTTGAGCATCTTAGGTTCATGATAGTACATTCCATGATCATACCCAATGGCTTTTATAATAATTGACATGAGCCACCAATCTAGCCCAACAGCTTTCCTAGCCCTAGCACAGACTCCTCAACACAGCTAGCAGATGGGGCTTGGGAACTCACAGAGCATTGCCCAGGAGCAAAACCAGAGCAGCTTTGATTTGGTGTCTTAATTTACTCTTGGCAAAACAGTGAACAGGATGCAAGTGTGATGGAGCAGGACTTGCTGGACAGAGCCAACAATGACACACAGCTTGCAGCTACCTAGGAAGGATGCAGAAAAGCATCCCACCAAGCCTGAATTTCTGCCCTGCTCTTGGACCTGTGCAGGAGCAGTGTACAACACCATGCCTGAGGGAACGACAGCCCAGCAGATGGAGACTTCACAATTACTAGTATAACCCACAATAATCCCTAGAGATTGCTAGGCAATGAGTGCAACACAGCAAAGCAGCCCTTTTCTCCTCAGCCTCTTTCCCAGCTGAAGGAGGGACAAGTGGATTGCTCCCAGAAATCACTGGGAGATCCCCAAGTATTTTGTCATCCACCCCTGCCCACCTTGAGGTTACCTCTTGTGGCTGGCCCCCAGCCCCACCCAAGTCACTGCTGTGGGTTTCTCCCCCTGCCCTCTCCTTCCTGGCAGCCAAGGTGTAGCTCTCTTCATAGAAGTCGTAGGTCTGATTCCTGCAGGCAGGCAAAGGAAGACACCCTGAAGGTCAGAGGTTTTGTGACCACTCACAGACCTGATAATTTTGCAGCAGACTGTTGTGCCAGGGGATGCCCAGACTGCCCACCCTTACCTGTCTGGCCGCGGGGAGGTTGTGGCCAGGTTGGGGTGGTAACCCTTGTAGTAGTGCTGACCCTGGTAATTGGTTCTCTTGCTGTAAGGCTCTCCCTGTCTCAGGTCTAGAGAGGGAATCAAGATTTAGCGTTGCCCATCTAGAGCTGCAAGCCATAATGAAGTTGCAAAAGAAAAGTAATGAGTCAGGCACTTTGCCATGCACATCCCATTTGCTTCCAAATTAGCCCGACACATTGGAGTTATGATAAAGCCTTGTACACATTTGCCAATGCAGCACTGATCTCCTTTCCTCTTTCCTCCCTCCCCTTTTCTTCAGCCCATGAACTCCAGAAGGAGCAAAAATGAGGCCCTAGACACCATGATCACAAAGCACCCTCAGCACTGAGTTCAGCCTGGAACTAGGAATCACACAGGGTTTTAGCCATGGAGATCAGGATCAAGTATCCCCTTGAGTGTGCACAGTTCCTGCTCGCATTTCCCATACGCAAGCTGAGGACAGTGCTGCATGGGGAGAACAGCACCAATGGCACAGTAGCGTAGGCAGAGGAAAGCCCTGAAAAGGTACAAGCCCTGGAAGAACCACCCATCCTGGTGAAAGGCCTCTTCTTCTGCAATAAGCTGCCTCCATCTGCAGACCCAAAGGATAAGCCCTTACCTCTGCCACGGGCTGCCACTGGTAGCTTTCGTAGGTGTAGTCATCCCTGTAGCTGGCTGCTGGATACTGCCGGTGGGGGTCTTCATATCCTTGCCTGAAACACAACACAGCATACTTAATCTGAGACAGAACGGGCACCACTGCAGGTTCTAGACCTTATTTAGGATTAGAACTAAGCCCCAGGTGGACTTTTGGAGGCAGAAAAAGTGATGGAAATAGAGCCAGGTCTACTGTCCAGGTGCCGTGCTCAGCAGCAGAGCCAGAAACTGGTCCAGCATCACATCTGTAAGGAGCAGCAGAAGGTGCTCTATAACAAAGCTGTGCACTGCAGTTTCAGGTAATGCCCACTTTCAGCTCAGTGGTATGGACTTGTCGTGGGGATCAGCTCTCATCCCATATTTGAGAGAGATCCCCCTAAAGCACCTTCTCTGCCAAGCTCTGGAGCTGCCATATCCATGGCAGAGCTCAGTGGGACTCCCTCTGCAGTGGAGCCCGGCCCAAACCACCCACCTGGCACTCGCATACCTGAGGCCTTTCACAACTGACAGCGATTTGGTAAGCCCCATGCAACACCCCTCTTCCCAGTGTGAGCATCATACAACCTCAGCGCAAACACCCGCATATCCACACCATAACTCGCTGAGGGCAATAACTCAGGCAAATCATCCCAAATTTGCTGGAGCACTCAAAGCCATTTCTCAGCACTGAGAGCATCATCTAGCCCACATTTTATCCTTCCATCCTCCGCTGTTTCAGCAGCTGAGCTTGCAAGCTCTCTTTAGCTCCTATATACCATTTATATTTTTATTGTCCACCTTATGCTTCCTAAAAAAGAAATTTATTTAATCAAACCTTCAAGAAAAATGCACCTCGGGACTGAGATGAAGCCTGTAAAACTGAACCACAGAAGTCGCAGCTGTAGGAAGAAACCAGAGCTGCAACTGCTATGCAGCCTCAGATATAGAAGTCACCAGCTACTTAATAGCTGGACATCACCTAGTCATGCCCTGCCCCCCAGGGCTGCTCGCCATTTCGCCTGTGCAGTTCCAAGGGCAGGACCCATGTCACAAGCCCCCACACCGCAGCGGTGAAATGGTCAGATCTCACTGTAAGAAGGTTTACAACAGGAAGGGGGCTCAGCACAAGCATCACCAAGTTGTGCGGCTCTCACCTGGAGTACGGCCTGCTGGAGTAGCTGCTTTCGTAGTGCTCGGCCCT